ATGGGGTGCCTCACAATTGTGCTTAGAGCCCATTCACACTTGTGCAATTTGTCATGCGACTTTAGGCTGTAAAATGTAACAGCCTCATTATTATTTACATTGTCTGTTTTGTATGGATTTTAGTTGGGAAACGTCACTTTACGGTGCTCAGATAGGTTCCTCTTTGCTTCTTGTGTGCCTGCTAGCTAGTTACGCGGGGTTTCAGGAAGAAATGATACTTGGAGCGCTCGTGGGACGGCTGCAATGCCAGGAAGAGAGGATTATGTCACCACAGCATATCACTATACACTTTCATGGCACATTGACTGTCAGTCAATGTGTCATCAATCTGAACTGAAATGCGAGAACGATGTAATCATACAAAGAACAGGGCGAAATCTCCTAAACAACACATCTCAAAAAGGATTTAAAGCGGACCTCCACCCATAAGGGAAAGTTCCGCTTTTATGCCTGGTCCATCGCTCCTTGTTAAGGATTGACACTTTTGGGGAGCAGGGGTGGGGGGTGAGCAGGTACTTGTCAAATTCACTTCCGCTGTGATTGCTTAGGTGATCGAGTGTTGCCTTTCCCCTATCCCTCCCCATAGTCTTCTGGGGCTATGGGACCATTCACAAAGCGCAGCGCTACTTGTGCATGCGCAGTGGGCACCCAGCTGTCACAGCCGGGTGCCCACACTGGAGATGTTGGGGACAAGGGACGGCTGGTGAATCTGGCCAGTGTGAACACACCGCGGGATCGTGGGACTGAGGAGTACCTGTTTCTTTAAAAGTCAGCAGCTACAGTTTTTGTAGCTGCTGACTTTTATTGTTTTACATTTTGACCAGACACCTGCTTTATAGAAACCTACATGTAAGTCTTAGTTTAAGGTTTTAAATGGCGCTGAGTAAAGAAAAAGAGTTTACTACTACTTAAACAGGCAGATTAAACCGATAATGCATAAGTAGGAAAATAGAAGGGGATTGTAAGAATTAGAAATCACATTATACTTTAAATCTGTGTTTGAGCCAATAAGCATGTCCAATTGTTAGAGCTGGCTCTGACATACGGTTTTAAGAGATTTCAAATGACTGGTAAGGGACTCCTTTTTTTTTTTTTTTCTAGTAATTGGTTTAACCCTCGAGGTAAATTGCATTTGAAGACGTGCCCCTTGCCTGACCTGTTATTATGATCAGAAAATGTCTCCCACCTCCCTTGCTCGAGTTCACGAAGCCCAATTTACAGTACTTAATCACTTAGGGTTCAAAAGAGGAGTTAATTATTCCTAAATAACTCTGAATACTTGTGCGCAACATCATAACTGTCACCTGTCGGATTTAATAACAAATACACACTTGCCCTAAGCAGAAACACATGGAGCTAATTGTGATCGAGCTGACCTCTGTCTTTAGATCACTCTTCGGAGCTTAGCAGAAGGGTTGGCGATTTAAATGTACCTTCTGGTTATAAGTTTCCCTGAGGAGTGTGTGTGTCAGAAGGCCAACATCCATTGATGAATGTGGCTAAAACTTCCAGCCTAATACGAACAATACCGTTTTTAAGAGATCCAAGCCAAGATTATTAATCTATTCCAAACGGAAACCTCACGAAACAAAAATAGATAATTCTTTAATGCAGCCAGTAGTTGCAGTGTCACAGATAGGTTGAGATGAGGTTATTCTTTTGATCTTAACATTATTAAGGTAAATGGCCACTCATCATAGCCAAGAGCCTGAATGATTATATGTGATTGTGCAAAATATGCTTTATTAATATGTTACTGCGAAGAAGAAGAGTTTGCTTTTATCTGCTTGTAAAAATGTAATAAAACAATATTAAAGGTCCTTTCACATGGGTGCTCCGTATGTCTGTTTTTCATCTGTCCGTTTACAGATAAAAAATGGACCCTCATATATTTCTATGGACTAACGGATGTAAACGGATGATCTGCTTACATCCGTTAATGTCTGCATCTGTTAACCGCTTCCCATACACCCTATAGCAGAAATACTGCTACAAGGTGGCACGGGTGTGCAAAATCACGTATATATACGTGATCTTGCATTTTCGGGTAGGGGGTGCACGCGCCTACCCGCGCCGCCATTCGCGGCCATGGCAGTCAATCACTGGGTCCCAGCCAGTGATTACTTGCTGGCACCCGGTGATTGCCGAGGATCTCCAACAGGGAGGGGGAACTGTTTGTAAACAAAACAGTTCTCCTCCCTGTCAGCTCTGGCACACTCCAAAGAACAGAGGTATACTGCTCAGGCAAACAATCCAGATCAATCCACAACAGGTGCAGGCCCTGGCTCGCCGCCATACACGATGCAACAGGAAGAAGGGTCAGCCGCATACTGGAGGATTGATGAATATAGTGTATATTTATTAATCATTTATTGATAAATGATTAAGCATGAGATTGCGTGTAACGCGTTAACAGGTCCTGTATTCATGTCCTGGTGTTTTGTGTGTTCCATGGATCAATAAATATATATTATATATTCATCAATCCTCCAGTGTGCGGCTGACCCTTCTTCCTGTAGCTCCGGCACACTGCTTTGCATGGCATGGCTGTGCACATCACAGCTATGCAAAGCAGTGTGCTTACAGTGAAGCACACAGACACAACCCCATAGTAAAACACAGCCTGCGCACAGTTAATCTTTTGACGCACCCCAGATGTTAACCCCTTCTTGCCCAGTGCCATTAGTACAGCTTTTTATTAGCACTGATTACTGTATTGGTGTCACTGGGGATGTCAGTGACACCAAGTCAGTTCCCCCCAGTGTCAGAATGCCTGCCGCAGTCCCGCTATAAGTCGCTGATAGCTGCCATTACTAGTGAAAATAAAAAAAAAAAAAAAAAATCCCAGTATATATACCACCATTTCACGTAAATCATATAATTTACACTTATTTTTTTTTTTAGCAAAGACATGCAGCAGAATACATTTTGGCCTAAATTTATGCCAAAATTTGATTTTTTTAAATGTTTTGTCTAATGCCAGACTATGGGCTATGCTTTGGTTGTGAAGATATCAGGATTATAGACCGCTAGAATGTGGGGGGGGGGGGGGGGCTGCACGTAAGAGAGGAGGTTCGGGTATGTAAATCTTTTTTTGTTCTCTAATACCAAAAGAGCAATTAACCCTTTAATTGTAGGCACAGCCCCAATGCAGTGAATAATTTTATAGTTGCAAGGAATTGGGCATAGAAAATCTGTTCACAATTCTTGTTTTTACAGATGGCCCCTTGGGAAGGCTTTATCACCAGTGCCTTCCAGGGAAGTCTTGTTCATAAATTGCAAGTTCATGGGGGATGTGGGAACTAGCATCAAATGTAGAGTTTTTAAAGCACACAGCCACTCGCTTCTTCTTTTTAAGGGCCTTTTTGCCCAGTTTTATTTAAAAGAAAGTTCCATAACGTGTTTCCCACACAGGGCTGTTCACCATCAAAACAAATGAAACCTATATTTAGCCTCCTGGCTCTCTCAGGTATACACAATTCTGCCGCTCTGGCCTTCCACTTCAGGCTCACAGCTGTCTCCTACAGACTCCTTCCAAAATGGCTTTTAGCACACAGCTAGCAGCCTCTTGCTGCTCTGGCTTCCACCTCTCCTAGGTAGAGCCATCCTGACTCCTGGGCAATGACCTCCTGTCTGCCGGGGTGGAGCCCAGGACCCTGGTTAGGCCTCTACAAAAAGGCCTGCACACACCTGTGCAATCAGTGTGCTGGCTGGTTTCAAAACATTGTCCCAGGGTTGGAGATTTCATGCCTCCCAAATCACTTAGAAATCTCCAGGCCACAGGTCCCAGAACAGGCTTTACAAACCAAAGACGAAACTGGCAAACCAGTTTTTTCTGCATCAAGAGAACTGCCTGGAGCCCCTCAACCTGTATGGTTGAGAATCCTGGGTTATAACCTTGATTTTCACCGTAGTAGGATACTGCACTGCCAGAGGGAGAAAAAGACTTTTTTAAAATGAAGCGATGAGTGCATGTGCAAAATGAAGTACCATGGGATCATGCACCTCATCTTGTCCATGTGTCCCAAACATTACATTCATGAGATCTCTCGAGGATAAGACCTTTTTTTTCAACAGATGAATGTAATGTCCTATGGCGCATTTGTGAGATGAGGCACATGACGCTATGTGCTTCAGTTCACGTCATTTCGTTAGCAATTTTTTAAGAGGTTAGAGGAAGGTCTTCTTTAACTGAGAGGCTGGTTGGGCAGTATTTGCCATAATGTGCAAGTATACACAATATATTTGCACATTACAGAACGCTTACTTCTTAGTGTTCTTTTCCTCGAGCAATGTAAGGTTCTAGCTCTTGCTACTACTCTGTCTACCGGGTTTGGTTTCTTCTGCCATGGGGCAGACAATACTGATGTAACTTCTGTGAGTGCATGCTGGAGTTATGTTGTGCTGGCTCCCAACTCCATTTTGTGGCATTCTGCAGAAGCCAGGAATGGGTCAGGACTATACACTGTACTGTTAATGCAATGTTGTCACTCTGCTAAAGGAGGGAGAATTGGAGAAATAATGGATCTGACAGGATCAAAAGGTAATAAAATGATAATACAAGAGTGACTTCGAAAAAAAAAAAAACGTACCTTTGGTTTACGAACGCCACAGTTAACGTAATTTTCGGTTTACAAATGAAAATCCATTGAAAAAAATGCCTCGGTTTACAAATGTTTTTCGCAATACAAACAGATTAATTGGTTTTCAATGCATTTACAATTTTTTTTAAATCATGTCCCTATACAGCACTATGCATTTAAAGTGCACTTTATAAAGAGTTTTGAACAGATAAGACTTTTTTTTACTTTTTTCTGACCTCCAGAACAGATTACCGTATTTTTTGCTCCATAAGACGCACCTGACCATAAATGGCACCTAGGTTTTAGAAAAACAAGAAAAAAAATATTCTGAACCAATGGACTGCAGACATAGTACAGGAGATGAGCAGAGACTGTGGACATAGTACAGGAGATGACCAGAGACTGCGGACACAGTACAGGAGATGACCAGAGACTGCGGACACAGTACAGGAGATGACCAGAGACTGCGGACACAGTACAGGAGATGACCAGAGACTGCGGACACAGTACAGGAGATGACCAGAGACTGCAGACACAGTACAGGAGATGACCAGAGACTGCGGACACAGTACAGGGGATGACCAGAGACTGCGGACATAGTACAGGAGATGACCAGAGACTGCGGACATAGTACAGGAGATGACCAGAGACTGCGGACATAGTACAGGAGATGACCAGAGACTGCGGACACAGTACAGGAGATGACCAGAGACTGCAGACAGTACAGGGATGACCAAGAGACTGCTGACAGTACAGCAGATGACCAGAGACTGCTGACCTTTGGGGAGGGAGCTGGAGCGGGTACCTGAATTTGACAGGTACCCGCTCCTACTTCCGCGGAGTTGTCCTCCCTTTAGTATGGACACCCGGCTGTGACACCCAGGTGCCCAATGCGCATGCGCGAGAAGCGCTGTGCTTTGTGAATGGCCCGGCGTCTTCTGGGACACATGACAGGTCCTAGAAGACGTCGGCCATTCACAAAGCGCAGCTCTTCTCGGTCATGTGCATTGGGCACCCGGGTGTCACAGCCGGGTTCCCACACTAAAGATGCCGGCGCGGGAAAAACTGTACAGCGCTGGACCGAGAATCAGGTAAGGTCCAGCTGCAGAGAAGAGCTGAGTGGCCGGCCCGGTATTCCGACACGGTGTCGGCGGCGGAAATACCGGATTGGCTGCTCCATATTCGCTCCATAAGACGCACTGACATTTTCCCCCTTTTTTGGGGGGAAAAAAAGCGCGTCTTATGGAGCGAAAAATACGGTAATTGGTTTTCAATGCATTTAATAATTAATTTTTAATCATGTCCCTGTACAGTATTTATGCCTATAAAGTGCACTTTATAAAGAGTTTTGAACAGAATACTTTTTTTAAACTCTTTTCTGACCTCCTGAATGGATTCATTGGTTTTCAATGCTTTCCTATGGGAAACCGTACAAGTTATTCGCAATACGAAAAGTCCCACAAACCGAGGTATGCCTGTATATGTGTTTTTGTAGTTGCACTTTAAATGTACTGTGTTTGCATGTATAACTAGCAAAGGTGCTTGCATCTCTTCAATTCATCCTCCTGTTCTTCTCTGCACAACAGCTGTCAGCCTGGGAGAGGAAAGGACAACACTATGTCAATCAGGCTCTACTGCATTCAGCGGGGCTGTCCATCTAAAGCTGAGCATACCGGAGCATTTATGCAATTTTTGCAAGATCTACCTACAACAGTTTAGTTCAAAGACCTCCCTAATTCGGTACAAATGATATGAATTGTTTATGTAGGACATTACTTACACAGTTTTCATCAGTCTAAACCAGCTTGTACAGAGATTGTATAATTAAAGCTCTTTTGGCTGTACTTCTGTGGATCACAGGAGCGCAGTGCGTTTTGCACTCCTGTGACCCGGTTTCAGCTGACAGTGGACGGAAGCTTGCTGTTGGCGAACGTCACTCAGCTGGTCCAAGCTGCGGAAAGATCCTGACTTCAAAGTCGGGATCCACCCCAGAGTCTGGAGCAGCACCTGGCTCAGGCTCTCAGTGAGCCGCTGAGAGCCTGAGCCAGCCGCTCCCTCCCCCTACGCAGCCCAGAGCTCCACTGAGCACTGGGGAAGTAGAGCATACAGTCACCGCTTTCTGCTCAGAGCAGCTGTGAGAACTTCACCATCAGCGATCATGTGATTTCTGAGTTCTCACACTTAGGCCGGCCATACATGGGTGGGTTTTCGAATGATTATTCGTTCAAAAATCGGACCTAAGAATAATCGGCCCAATTTTCGCTCTATTAGTGGGGCAATGGCACCGGCCAATTTTCGTAGTTCCTCCCATTTCGTTTATCAGGCATGCTGGACAATTCATGAAAAACTATCAATTTTCGAAATCATTGGTGGCACCATTGGATTAAAAATGAACAATGTTTTTGATCAAAAAATTTTTGGAATTCAACCCATGTATGGCCTGCTTTAGAGATGGCAGGGAATAGATGCAGCATCCATCTAGGTAAGTATAAATGGGGGAAAATAAGAGTCCACACTTCTCTTTTAAATCGTTACATGTATGGCCACCTTTTAATGAGAGCAACCTGATAGGAGGAGATAGCAAAATGGTCATCTCATCAGTGTGCTGCAGATCCATCCTTGTTTAGTCATAGGCAAGGGCAGTTCCTAGACTTGGCTTTATTGCATGAATAAGTGTCAAGGCACCCTTTAAAATTCTGCACAATCTCGAGGCGCTCCATTCTAAAATGTAAAAAAAAAAAACAGACTATTATTATATAGGATTTATATAGTGCCAAGAGTTTGTGCGTCACTGAAACTAATAGGACACCTAACATTAGCAGTGATTTATTCTTACAAAGTGATATACCTTTGCACACTGGTACTGACTAGTATTCCATTGTTTCTCTTGTCCCTCAGTTTCTCTCCATCACTCAGCTAATGTGACCCCAGTGTTGATGGAGAGAGCCCGGGAGGGCAAACAAGAATGCTGTGCAGGCCCCTGCTATCCTCGTTCCCAACCAATGATGTAATTGTTGGCTAGGACACTGGTAGCTAGAAGGCTGTATTGGTGCATAATGAAAACTTTGTGTGATAAAAAGGCAAGCTTGGCTTGTATACATTTTTTGGGCAATTTTTAGGCATTTTGCCAAGGCACCCCTGAGAAAACCTGAAGGCACCCCAGGTTGCCTGGGCACCATAGTTGAAAACAACTGGCCTAGATGTTGATGGAGAGGTCCATGACCTAGCTGTGCTTCCTGGATCACAAGACTGGCCGAAGAGGATTACCAGTCCTTTGGCAGGCAAGACAGTTCCATGTATTCATTTCAACAGTGTAATAAGCTATTTCCCTGGAGTTCAACTTTAAATCAGGGCTTACTTCAATTTAGAACTATTCTCCTGTAGAAGTAAAAATGTAATTTACCTCTCGCATTATACTGTAGTTTGTCTGTCATATTAAACAGAGTGCTGGGGCTTACAGCTAAGCTTTCTAACCCAAATCCTGCTGATGTGAAGCAAAAAAGCAGCAGTTACACAATGGAAATTGGAACGCACTAATCACATTTGCAAAATTAGTTACTGTACGTGAAACTCTATTAAACATCAGGCTTGTATTTGTTCTCTGCAATCCTTTAATTGTAAAAGAGGAATGTGTCTCTTTAAATCCAGGCTCATCTAGCCTCTGTTAATGTATTCAGCTCGTGTTCCGGTGATATTATTTGAGTTTTAGGTGATTGCTTTGCATGAGAGATGTTTCTCTCGCCTGTCATGCAGCATCCTGCCAAATTGGGGCAGCGCCCATGCTTAGCATAATACAGCAGGAAGAAGGTCAGCACATATCAGAGCCCGGGCGCCAAGCCTGCTTTTATCCGGCATGTGCAGATATATTGTTATCTTCTAATACATGCTCAGACTTTCGAAGGTCAGCACTGATTGGTGTTTACAAATGACAGGCTTTAAACCTTTCCATGGAAACACCTTGCTAGAAGCTCTCTTGATATATATTCCTTCCAGTCTTCTTTACTCCAGTAATAGTAAAAATGTCATTATCAGAAAAAAACACTATTGAATTGCAACTCTCTAGAGCAGCATTTGTTGTTTGCGGCTTTGTTTCGGAGCAAGGTAGGTATATATACAGTACATATTGTGTACATACTGTATATGTGTGTGTATTAGTCCTCATGCACACGGGACGCTTTGATAACGCTGGTAACATTAGCTGTGTAAAGTCACGTTAAAAACGTGAGTTTTTCAGCTTGTTTCAGCGTTTTTGCATTAGCGTTTAGAAGCGTTTTCCCACGTTTTTCTGTATTTACTTTTTGTATTTCAATATTTGTATTAATTTATAAACAGTTTAAGACAGTAGCAACAAAACACGCCCACGCAGGGGCTATCAATTGCACATAAAAATATTAGAAAAAACAGTGCTTCAACACCAACAGAGCAAAAGGTGCGCCCACGCAGGGGCTATCAGTGGCACATAAATTGCAAAAATATTAGCTTAACACTGACAGTAACTCCCACTAAAGACAGTTATCCACTGCCACACCAAAAACAAAAAGAAAAGGAAAGAGGAGTACAAAAGAAAAAAGATAACAAGACCAAGAGCAGGGGTCCGAGAACGCCAATACTGAGCAACATCACAACCCCAGACTAGCCAGGTGGAGCGAGGGAAAGGCATATTGCAACCACGGCTTCCATATTTTCAAGAATTTCCGTTGGAAGTCGTTACAGATACTCTACATCTGCTCATTGAGCATCATAGTGGTCATACGGTCCCGCACCCCCTGAAGAGGGACTCCTCCAGGCCTGAGCATTTGTTCTAGTGGCCGATAAAAACAAATAGCCAACTTCTGCTGGAGAGCCAAGAGGTCCTGTATGGGACAATGAAGCAAAGCCATGTTTGCGGTTTTTAGCATTTATTTACCAAAAAAAAATTATTGTTTTGGTTTAAAAGTCCTAAAACGCCGGTTTGCGGCGTTTTACCACGTTTTTCAGTGATTTTTTCAGCATTTTTACAGCTAAAAAACTCCTCTAGACACCCACTAATCCTGGGATTTTTTTTCCAGCCAAACAATGTTGATTACAGTCTATGTGTACACATAGGATAACATGCTGGGGGGTTTACTAGATGTGGAAAAAAATGTCAAAAGCCAAAAACAGCCGCTGTAAATACGTCCAGTGTGCATGAGGGCTTATTCTGCTCTTGGTTCCACCTGATCAGCATGTTACAGAACTACTTTCCCAAGTTCCAGTCTAGCTCTGTCCATCCTAGGCACCAGGAAATAGTATCAAAGCAGCTTGTATCTAGCTTTAATCTTTTCGCTCTTTAATAGGCAAGTCACACAAAAAGATATGATTTAAAGCCTTTTTTCCTTTTCACATTTGTGGCTCACTTCCAGCTATGTCATCAAACCCATTTACAGAATTGACCCTGTTGCAGTATCCACAGTTTAAGCGTGGACATTTTGACTATTGTAAATGTCTAGCCTACGCTAATCCCTCGTTATTGTAAAGTTTGTTAGACTGAAAAACACAAATGTCTGTCAAGTAGAAACTCAGTGCTTCTTTCTGTCCTGTCCCTTCTATGTGGATTATTTTTGCTGGTGAAGACAGTTAGAGATAGTCTTTGCTGAGTGGCTAAAGCATGCAACATACCTTAAACAGAGAATCGCTCTTAAGGCCTCATTCGCACAACCGATTAGGGCCATACATCACCAAGAATTGGTGGAAAACTGCAGTGGTGACCATAGGTGTTTACAAATCAATAACCGGTGCCATGGCTGCTTAAATGCAACTGCACATTGAGTGGACAATATGATGTATCTTAGAAAGACACAGTCATAGCTGAAAGCACAAAGTTTCATCTTTAGGTATAAAACTTTTATTGGCTAAATGAAAAATTTTTAAAGATGCAAACTTTTGAAAAGGAAACCTTATACATTTTGAGAGCTTGCATTGTTGACCGCTTCCCTGCCGCCCTATAGCAGAAATAC